TTTTTTTTTTTTTTCATTTTCCCTTCTATTATGGTTTTTTTTAGCATTTCTTGCTCGTATTATGTGGTATATTTGATTGGACCTTTAAATTAATCAAGAAAAGAAAAAAATAAAAAAAATCTTCTAATATTTATATGTCAATTCTGGTAAATTTCTTTCTAACTTACTTATAAATGGGTCGGGATGAGTCTAGCTGAACTTGAGCTAGTAGTGCTCGATTTCGAGCTCATGTGCTCTTTATATTTAACAAGCAAATAACTCGAGTTTAAACTCAATTCATTTATTTAACGAGCAGAACTCGAGCTTTCACAATACTTAGAAAAAAAAAAAGAAACATATATCCATTTTCGTAAATTTTACCCTCCTACCTACACGGTATTTTTTAATAGTTGGATCAAAACATATACACCAGTGTGCTTATTGAAAGTCACTGTTCTAAAAGTCGGTCTAGGCCGGTGCCTCCGATTTACACAAATCGGCCAAAAAAATTGGCTAGGCGGCCTTGGCGGGCTCAGCGGCCACGCGGTTAAGCGGCATCTAGGCGGGCGTATGCGGACCTAGGCGCTCTTAGGTGGGCTCCGGCAATTTTTGAATTTTTTTTATTTTTTAAATAATAATTATATTATTTTGTCCTCATGTTTTTTTTAGAATATATTAATATTATTATTTAGATTTAGGTGTGTCGATTTATTATAAGTTGAGATAGTTTTATTTTGTAAGTAGTTAAATAAATAAAAAATAAGGTATTTAATATTGATTTTTAAGCGCCGACTAGGCCCCGCCTATGCGCTAGGCGCTGGTCGAGCGCCTAGTGGGTGCCTAGCGACTTCTAGAATATTGTTAGAAAAATTATAGTATGTACAAGTTGCCCTCAATTTCTTCAGTCTACTTTGATTATTATGGGAATGAAGAAATGCATTAAAGTGAAGGATTAATAATTCATTTGAAGGTGGGGGAGTCTAATGTGAAAAAAGAAAGAAAGAAAAAAAATGGGGACCAAATGATAAGGGAATGTTAATGTTGCTGGTCTTTATTCACACTTCTCAAATGACAGCATATCACATGAAATGTGGGTGGTCATCATCATGGCCAAAAGGGGCTCCGAAGAACTTTTTCTTCTTGAATTTCTTCAAAACAAATTAAGTGAGATTCTTTTCAATAAGTGCTCACATAGTGCAAATTATTAGGTGAAACTTATGAGTTGTGTGTGTTGTATATACAATTTATGTGCATAAAAAGTTGTGAAATAAAATACCAAAACACATTAACATGCTTCAATTTGGCTTTAACTTTAGGGTAAAGAAACAATGGAAAGAAAGCTCATTTGAATCCACAATGCGAGTGGATCAAAATTGAATTTGAAAATATCTAATTAGTCTTAACAAAGTGCAAGAATTCGATTAAGACCTCTATGTTCTCAGCGCACGATGGGATATACTCGACGAGTATATGATCGAAAGATCACGAGAAATCTTAATGTATGATAGATATGTTAAAGAGTACAGGATCTTGATAGATAACAAATGTAAGCCCACCTTGTGAACAATTTGGGAAAAATTTAAGTTTTATTGACCTAAAATGAAAATCATTAAAAAAAAAGTGGTATAGTGTACTAACTACTACTCCCTCCTATTTTTTTTAAATGTCATTCTAGCTTTATCAACTATTAACTAAATAAATGTCGTTTTGGATCTTTTGTACATATTTTTCCATTATTACCTTCATTTAGCTAATAAATGCATTACGTCTTTCCATATTCGCTCTTTCACTTTTTCTCAAAACATTCATCTCTATTTTCATAAAATAAGGTTATTGTTGACAAAAAAATATTCTTAATTAATGTGCAACTTCTCAAAACGACATATATTAAAAATAAGAGGTAGTACTAATATGTGGAGTGAAGTGGAGTGGAGTGAGGAGGATCCTAGGTAGGAAGTGAAACCCAAGGGTCTCAATGAAGGACCAATCCTGGTAAGTTTACTGTTTCTTTTCCTGTTGGTACATTTATGCTTGGTCAATAAATGGAAGCACCCAAGAGCGCTTGGATGAGATGGCTTGGGTCTATTTCAGCTTAACCAGTGGTCTCGAGTTCGAGCCCTGAGAATGCAGCAGTGTTAAAACTCTTGAGGGAGAGTTTTGCCGCCTTTGTGGTCCTACCCAGCTCGATTCTGGATTAGTCGGTTCCCCTGTGGATCCGGAAACCGGAAGGTCCCTGTACCAAAAAAAAAATAAATGGAAGCCATTGACCAAACCACAAAAAGGAAAAAAAAAAAAAGAAAAGAAAAACAAAAAAAGGATTCAAAAAAATAAAAATGAAATTAAATAAAAAGATAATAATTGAATGAAAGAGGGTAAAAAAGGTAAAGCAAATAAGAATGTGAGGAGACAAGGGCATAATTGTCTCATGGCTTTATATCTCCTAGAAGAAATTTATCCCCTCGAGGACCAGTATGTCAGTAATTTTGAATGTGACTTTGAATAATAAAGTAGTACGTACAGTACTAATAGAGCATTTACAATATTTTTAGATATATATATATATATATATATTTTTTTTTGTTTTAAAAGATACTCCACTACTTTATTTGTTTGTTGACACATTGAAAAGTGATTCAATGTATAAATAAAAGATGTTTTGGAATTTGACCTTTATACGATAATAATGTGGTATATATAACAGAGGGAGCATCTACATATATATTTTGGATATGAATTTTGTAGCCACATTGAAATCTGATTTAATGAATAAAAATATGCTTTTAATATGCAACTGAAATTAATTGGATATTATAATCTAGGTGAAGTGTTAGTTAAATAATAATAAAAAAAAAAAAATCTACTCAAACCTTAAATTTTCCTTGAGTAAAGAGGAGCTCTATATATGTTGTAGTGGGACTAACAGTAAGTAAATCATTTTTTATTTTTTCTTATTTTATATCAACATTATTACAAGTATTTACTATCCCAACCCAAATCCAAAAATTTCAAAGCACAAGCACAAACAAACAAAGAAAAGAGATCATAACAGCTGTGGTGTGGTCCATTCTTTACAAAGCCCAAAAATTAAAATCCCATTAAAAGCCATATATTATTTTGTTGGTTGAGAATGTGAAGGACAAGCACTATATAATATATATATATATATACCATAGTGCTGCAACAATTAATATACTAGTGTTAAGCCCGTGCGATGCACGGGGGATATGGTTCAATAACAATAATTATCGTAAGTTAATTAATTAAAAATGTATATTTTTTGCAAATCAATTGAAAAAAATGAAATTTATTTTAATATTATCAAAAATTTCATTATACATAGATTGATGGTATGACCGGTCACTATGGTATTCACAAACTAATATTTTAAAACCAAGATCACTGTTGCGTCAGATAGCACAAAATAGAGTTTTTCATTTATTGAAACATAATAGGCCGACGTGTATGTTACTAAGAGTCATTGACTATTTTAAAACTCATCAACCATCACATAGGAAATCACAAGTGGTAACTAATGCCCACATGAATTTTAAAGGTATTTGCAGATCAAAAAGAGATAACATATCACATATGTTTCAAATATCACGTATAGTTCAAAGACAACCTATTGTAAGAAGCTATTATTTTTTTTTTTTTTAAAAAAAAAGTAAGTCAAACTCATTATATTTAGATACTATTAAAAATTTCCTTATACACAATATTTTCGGTCTGAGTTTTAGAAGCTTGATCTCCACACACTAAGATTTTTAAACCACTACGATTGATTACACGTGATACGGCCACATACAACTGTCCGTGACTGAATACAGGATTTTTTAAAAACAGGCCGACATGTGTTAGCGACTGACCTTTCCACTCCTCAAAGTTGTAATTTTTTATAGGATAAATTTTTCTTTCCACAAGAGTCTTGTTGATATCTCTATCCTTTTGTTTTATAGTACCTTGAATCCGTTCTCCGATCCCTACAAACACATAAAAAGTATTTAAATTTCATATGCAACATATAAAAAAAAAAATAAATAAATTGTGAAATTAATGTGGATGTGTATGATGAAACCTTCTGTATTATATGCGTGTATATGTAACTAATGTGTATGATTAAAATAGCAATTTTTGTGAACCACACACCATAAACATATCAAATTAAAAAAAAAAAAAGGAAAAATTTACATATTGCTAGATTTAATATCAATCGCACATTAGATAGCTAGATTAATAATATTGAACAATAAATATGAATAGCACATTAGATAGCTAGACTAATAATATTCTACAATATACGCACTTCGGAATCATGAAAAATGCAGTCAATAAAGTGAATCACGTTTCCTCCATGGGTTGTAACCCTTTCGTACATCCTAATTAGACAAAGTTTAAGAGCAAATTGTGGCAATGCGTTCGTCAATTTTTTGATCGATACAAAAAGGGGAGATATTTTTTTGAACCTTTGTTGGTTGAGTACGTATAAAATATATTTTTTTGTGACAGTAGTGTCAATCTTAATCAGGATTTATATAATCACATATCATGTAAAGATGATAATATGTGTATATTAATTAATAAATTAATTATAATTGACATAAAGATGGTAATATGTTTATATTAATATTTGCATAAAAATGCAATTAGAATCCTTCTATTTTTTTATTGATATCGTGTTTATGTAAATTAACAATAAATTCTTTGCTAACAAAATCTATCTTCCAAAATATAATATATCCTCCTAAAGTTAAAAAAATATTTGCTAACAAAATAGTTGCTAATAAAATCATTGCTCACATCCAAGCAAGATCCACGG